CTACAATAAGTAAAGAATTGACATATTCGAAAGAATGAATGAATGTATAATACTTTGAAAGTAAGCAGCTCATAAAACCTTTGGATTATAATATTGTTATTACTATTCATACCCCATGTATGTATAAGCCATGTTACTAAAATCCTCGAGATGACCATTCTGAAAATTTAAAATCTCGGAGTTTTACAAAGGTATTTTGAATTCAATTCTTTAATACCTAATGGCTATATCATCCGTTTAAATTTGACCTGAATTGAATTTTTTTATTGCTTGAAAAAGTTATGTTTCCAATGACATTACTGCCAGAAAATCAGAGCGGTAGTGAGATTTTGTAATGCTAGTCTACCAGCAATCTTTGTTCACGATCATGATATCGAATAAGTAAATAAAATTATGTTCGAAAATAGTCGGGTTAACTATGTATAAGGGATTGATTCAACACATTTCAGTACAAATTTTAGATATAAAACAGACTTGTTGTCTGCATAAAGATGAGGTTAACTTTTCAGCAACTTAATATGCCATTTGGCGAAATTTTCTCTTGTCAAATTATCTTCGAAACTGAGATATACGCTCCATAGTAACGTTGAAGAGTATAAACGTCATGCTGGCTGAGGTCTTACATATATGAAACTTGGATTGAAACCAATCGACATGTTTATACTGATAAAAAAACAGTATATTTTTTATTTAGGGATTATATTTTTATTAATATGTAATTTTTTAATTATTATTATATTATGAATAGGAGATATTAAGTTTGTCATGAAGTTTGTAACACCCAGAAGGAAACGTGGGAGACCTTGTAAAATATATATGTATATAACTGATCAAAACAATACGCGAAATAGTCCCTCAGTTTTTGAGATATCGATATGAAATATACACGGCCTTTTCTCCCCAAGATGTTGCCCATTTGTCGGTATCGATATCGGACCACTATAGCTTACAGCTACCATACAAACTGATCGATCGAATTGAAGTCGTTATATGGAAAACCTTCTATTTGACAAAATATCTTCACGAAATTCGTTGCTTTCTGCTAATAATTATTATTTATGTCGATATAATGAATAACCCATTATATGAAAAGCTTTAAAAATTTGGTAAAACGCTTGGGCTGAATGGGTAAAGAGAAATATTAAAAGTTTAGAAAGTAAATCCGTTGAGTTATCCAAGATCGGATACATCGACTTTAAAATTAAGGCATAAAAGAAGTTTGTTTCATGAGAGCCTGGAGTGTGAAATTTAATGTATATACAATATATGAATAATGTAACCATACTTTATTAAATTCTGATATATGTATGTATATGTTTCTGATACATTTGCTGAAAAGACTAATATGTATAATTTTAAGGGATATATTAGAACATAGAAAATTACTTTAATTCTATGAAATTCAAAGAAAATAATTTCGACGACCCTGCAACCCTCTGTAGTATGTATAATTATCTCTTTACTCAAAACAAAGCACCCTTCCTTCGTAGTACTTTTTTCAGTCCTAAGTGTTCTAATTTTAGGTAATATGTACCTATTCCTAATATGAAATAAATTAAACTGACGAAGAAATAATCCTTTGCTGGATGAAATGTAAATCAGTTCCTCACAGCTGATTCCTTTAATAAATGTATCGTTTGGTCATTATTAACGTAGAAATAAAAATATAATAAATAGAATTCGTCTGTCGTTGGTGTCTAAAACGAAGCATAATCATATTTGTAGATTTTGAAGTCCTTTGTTAACTACCACTTACATGTATTATCTTTATATACATTTGGCTATGTGTTCCTGACCTACATTAAATAATTACAGTTAACTATATTATTATATTGATTAACGGCGAATTTTGGTGGTTCCATAAAACGTCTATCTATGACCATGCAAAGCCGGCTAATTCAAATATATTTTTATCGTCATCGTCTAAATAAGCCATCCAACCATTTTTGTTTACTCCTCGAAATTCTACATTCTTAGTTGTTTTGGTATCTCAATTTTGTTTGCTTCTTATTTGTTTTTATATATTTTCTTTTTTATTACGGTAATCTTTTATTTATTGGCTATTTTTTCTTCCTTTGGCTGCTTGTTGTGTGTTTGTGCCTTCCTTTCGTGGAATTTATCTTTTATGGTCAAGGCTGTATTGTTTATTAAGACAAATATATTTCCTATATCTATTTCATACGCACATGCGAACAGAAGACAGTACGATTTGGTTGTGAGGCAGGGCAGTGACAGAAGGCGTCAGGTATTCGCAGCAGTTACGAGCGTTTTAAGTAAATATTGCCCAAAATTGCTTAACGATTTGGGTCAAATGTTACTGATAACGCGCTGAATACTGAACACGAAAATGTGTTTGTGTACATTTTTGGGAATTAGTAGGGCGCTTTTTGTGGTGTGTCTTCAAGAATTAGGGCAATAAATGTCGTAGCTGTCATTATAACAGCAACTGGCGACTGGTGTGCATGAAATAGTGCTTGTGATTGAGTCAAAATATAGGGTTGCTTGGAAGTAAAAGTTTGCATTTCCTTTATCACGCTAATATTATATATTGTGTATTTGAGTATTTTTTGTGAAAAAACAGATAGTAAGTGAGATTTTTGAAATCTTGTACGTTTGTAAAGTTATATAAAAATTTTAATATACAACAAATGATTTGAAAAAAATAATTGAACAGTATTGTATAAATATATATGTATGTATATATTTGAGAAAATATGGTAAAGTTTTTTTAACATTTTTTTTATTCATTCATGATTTTCCCATGGAATGCAATATATCAGGTTGTCAAATATCTCCCTTCCGCTTTTTTGTCTTTTGAATTTCGCGGCTATGTACAAAGCGCTAATTTGAAAGGTCTTGACATAACCTACAAAACAACGCTATGCATGATTAGTTTGGATATTGCGTTCAACAGTTATAGACGTGTAAACATGGAGTTCACTAACGCCGAAATTCGCGCTATTTTAAAGTTTTCCTTCGTTAAAGGCAAATCCGCTAGAGAAACGTTCCGTGAGATTAATGGTGTTTTGGGGGATGGTACTCTAGCACTTCGAACCGCGGAGGAATGGTTTCGACGATTCAGAGCCGGTGAAAACGACACCATGGATAAGCCAGCCGGCGGAAGACCTGTGACGACAAATACCGATCAAATCATGGAATACATCGAGTTAGACCGGCATATGGCATCTCGTGACATCGCCCAGGAGATGGGAGTTAGTCACCAAACCATTTTGAACCATCTGCAGAAGGCTGGATAAAAAAAAAAGTTTGATGTTTGGGTGCCGCATAATTTGACGCAAAAAAACCTTCTGGACCGAATCAACGCTTGCGATATGCTGCTGAAACGGAACGAACTCGTCCCATTCTTGAAGCGGATGGTGACTGGCGGCAAAAAATGGATCACATACGACAATATCAAGCGAAAACGGTCGTGGTCGAAGGCCGGTGAATCGTCCCAAACAGTGGCCAAGCCGGGATTGGCGGCCAGGAAGGTTTTGCTGTGTGTTTGGTGGGATTGGATGGGAATCATCCACTATGAGCTGCTCCCATATGGCCAGACGCTTAATTCTACCATCTACTGCGAACAACTGGACCGCTTGAAGCAGGCGATCGACCAGAAGCATCCAGAATTGGTCACCAGGACAACGCCAGACCACACACTTCGTTGATGACTCGTCAGAAGCTACGGGAGCTCGGATGGGAGGTTTTATCGCATCCACCATATAGCCCGGACGTAGCGCCAAGTGATTACCACCTGTTCCTGTCCATGGCGAATGCCCTTGGTGGTGTGAAGTTGAACTCAAAAGAGGCTTGTGAAAAGTGGCTGTCCGAATTCTTCGCAAATAAGGAGGGGGGCTTCTACGAGGAAGGTATTATGAAATTGCCGTCTAGATGGAAACAGATCATCGAACAAAACGGCGCATATTTTAACTAAATCCGATCACTGTAACACTTTTTATAAAGCATTGAATGAAGAGCAAAAAAGCAAAATATTTGACAACCTTATATATGGTGCAATCTTTCAGAATCGATTTGATTTGAATTTTTACCAATTGGACAATATGCATGACGCACAATACACTCTTTGTCACAACTTTCTAATTAGTGGTGTACGATTACTTATCTCTTCCTAATAGGGTGACGAAATCAATGGTAAAAAAAACTATTTATGCACATAAATCTTTTCTGTGATTTATTCGAAATGCAAACTATGTAATATAAAGATTTTTCAATCTGATATTTTTTTGAAAATACTTTTTGTATTAAAATCCAAGAGCATCTCATCTGAACCATACAGCGCTAAGCACCGGCTTCATGTTCTGAAAATTTTGCTACAAATCAAGTGTTCCTTTTCAAATTACTGAACTGTTTACTGAGTCCAAAGTACAACTTGTTGAGTTGGCAGACAACTTTTTTTTTTAATTTTGATTTAAGAACTATGATTATTGAAAAATTAAAGCCGTATAATAGGTGTAAATACGCTGGAATTTTATGAAACGGGTTGAATTAGGATATTGGTATGAGAAAAGAGCAGCACAGCAGCACAAAGGATGATGAAGGTGACATTCGGTCCTTCAGTTTTTGAGATATCGATTTGAAATTTTTGACACGCCCTTTTCTCTTCAAGAAGCTATTATCTGTCGGAACCGCCGATATCGGATCATTATAGCATATAGCTGCCATACAAACTGAACGACCAGAATCAAATTCTTGTGTGGACAACTTTTTTATTTGACCAGATATTTTCACGCTTTGCAAGCTGTCCAATCAAAATCAAGATAAAGATTGCAGAAGTTAACTTTTGTTTTACTTTAGTTAGATATACATATCTGTATATACGTATAAAGTCTAGCAACCCCAAAACCTTTAAACTATTTTTTGTTCAACGAAATTTTAATATTTTACCAACTCAACCAATTTGACATCTAATACTACATTTATTTTGAATTAATCCAACATTTTTTAATAACCACTTCCACTTGTTCTTCTCACAATTCCAGAGCTGCTTAATGTCCCAAATGGCATTATTTCATATCAGTGAATTATAATTCGTCATCGTTAAGGCTCGCATAACAGAAAGTCAGCAAAACGGCGGTGGACGTACAGCAGCTGCTCACTTTGTTGTACTTGTTGTGGCACAACTTGAGCCCAGCAACTCGTGTCAAAGGCCTAGAACGGCAACGACAGCAGCAACTCGATTGCGCCAGCGTCACTTACGCAGCAACTGCTTCTGTAGCAGCAACGCCATCATTGTCATCATCATCATCAAAACTAACAACGACGACAACAACAACATTTGTAATCTGCAAATACGCTAATCATCATTATAATCCGGTAAAGCGTAAAGAAGCCATTAGCCAAACTTAAGTGGTTGTCACGACAGGCGCACACACTTCCATACATTCACAAATACACATTCACTTTCGCCACCGTTGGGGGCAGTCGTGGCAAAGCGCGGCATTTGTAGCAATAATTCGCTTCCGCATATTTGCCTCTTCACCTTTTCGCTTTTCACCGACAACGTTGTCAAACGGTAAGCAACAGAGTGGCGGCGGCAATGACCCTAACCACTGCTACACAATCGGAGAGTAGCAAAAAAATGGATGCCAAGTGTGCGACTGAGGAGAATTTGCCATCTTCAGAAATGGATCTACTGGCCAAATTGGAGGCCGCTAACAAGCTGATCGAGAGCGACGCGAAAAGTTTGAACTCGTTGCATTCGACGCATAGCCGTAAGAATTCCGACACCAGTCAAATAAGTCTGAATTCAAGTAAGTGTAAGTAAAATTTCGAAAATCTTAAGTTATATGGTATTTATCGATTTACTTATTTTTCATGTTAGCTGGCAACTCGAATGCTGAGGAAGACATTTGGACGCAATGGGCGACTATATTGAGCGATTGGGAGGGTGCGCTGAAGCGTAAAAATCCATGTGTACGCGATCTGGTGCGTCGCGGCATACCGCATCACTTTCGGTAAATACAGAAACGCACATATTCACACATTATACACATATGTACATATAAATAATAGGTATTTGAAATCGGCAATAAGTAATTTTAATTTTCACTAGCATGAAGGCCAAAATGTTTCAACCGAAATAATAATTATAATAGTGTCCATGCATGAATGATTAAAAGTCTCTTTTGGATGAGAGTTTTTATTATAATATTTTAATGAAAATCTAACTAAGAAATTCCACAAATTAAAATCGTATAGGAATCTGTATATATGATGTATATTATTAAAAATGTCTAATAAAAAGAAATCCATTTTTTTTGCATTCAATTCATCGTTAGAAGGATCCGTTTGAATAATCCACTGTTGTATTCGATAACTTGTTGCCATTTTTAATGTGATTTCGTAATGCCACACTGGGGCAATCGATGCTTACAAACTTTTCCCAAACAAGCTTCCGGAGCTTCTGGCGAGTCACTATCGATGTGAGTGGCCTGACGTTGTCCTGATAGAAAACAATATCTCTCCACTTGACCTTTCTAGACGACCATCGTTTGCGCTAGCTCGACACGATTCGACCAAGACCGTTTTCGTTTGTTCGTCACTGGCTCTTAGAGTATCAAGACCATAAACATTGTTTACATTTTAAGCCGCCTGGTTTGCGTTTTCACCTATATCAAAGAAAAACTGCTTACACCGCTTATGGTCACGCACAAAACAATCACCCTTGAGAGTCAATTGTCAAAAGAAAATAGAGCTAGCTCGTGCTTGTTATCCTTATCTGATACAATCACCTTTAAGATATCTAGCTATCGATTGAAATCTACAAGTCAGTCGACGGAAAAGCCGACCCGCTCTAACCTGGATTGGAAATTTGAACATCAACAATTATCTACAGTCCGAAAAATTGGAGTCGAATCTAAAGGGTAGCACTTGACGCTGGCTCAAACAGTACTAAGTCCAGCAATCCCAAACTGCCTGAGAAGCTTTTTTAGTACTGAAATCTGAACTATTCAAGCACCAGATAGCATAACGGAGCGCTCACTATTGTGACCTCATATATTGTCAAAGATAAAAGCAAGGAAAAACCGAAAATTCTGGAAATGTGTGACCTATCGTACGGATCGCGTAAAAAAACGACGACACCTATAGATAGCTAAAAACTAAAATTCCCACAAATTTAAAAAAAAATTTAAATATCAAAATCTTGAATTAATTAAAAAAATATATCAAAAGAGATTGCAACGGAACCAAAACAATTGAGTCATAAGTAAAAAAGTAATTTCTCCATTTCAACTCCAAGTTAGCTTTCAAATTCGAAATTTTTGCCTTCGAATTCGATTTTGAGCTTATTGAAAACATCATTAATAATTACAGTATGTATGTTAAGTACCTTCAATATTAAAAATATGGATATTATCCACATTTTCCTCTTTTTTCATGGTGTACAACATTTTTTCGTCAAGCTTATATGACGTATAAAGTGTCAGAATCGGGCCAATATTTTTTTTAAATGCTTATTACACACACAATACAACGATACAAAATACTGAATACTAATGTTCCTAAATATTTAATATTTGTGCAGTGCTATTGTGTGGCAACAACTATGTGGCGCCTCTGATACGGACAAAAAACAATATGCTGACTACATTAAGGCCACCTCGGCCTGCGAGAAGGTCATCCGGCGTGATATTGCACGCACCTACCCAGAGGTGGATTTTTTCAAAGAAAAGGATGGTCCTGGTCAAGAGGCGCTTTTTAACGTGATTAAAGCATATTCGTTGCACGATCGTGAAGTGGGCTACTGCCAGGGTTCCGGTTTCATTGTGGGATTGCTGTTGATGCAGGTGCGTAGAAGGAAGAGTGATGACAATGACTTCTTCTATTTAAGGAGATTTTTGTCAAATATTTTTTAATATTTATATAATTTACCTATGCAATATTTAATTATGATATGTTTTGCTCTAGATGCCCGAGGAGGAAGCATTCGCTGTGCTCGTACAAATCATGCAACAGCACCGCATGCGCGACATGTTCAAACCATCCATGTCGGAATTGGGTCTGTGCATGTATCAACTTGAGAGTTTGGTGCAAGAGCAAATACCCGAGATGCACATACACTTCCAACAGCAAGTAAGCGCATATAACTCAACGATTACTTAGTTCGGAAACTTAGTTTCACCATTTTATCTGCAGTTAGGCATTTCTATAAATATCTCAAGGTACGAGTATATTGTTTTCTTTATTTAAACCGTTTGTTATTTCTTTCTACAGGGTTTCCAAACAACTATGTACGCTTCCAGCTGGTTCCTTACACTTTACACCACTACACTCAATCTAAATTTAAGTTGCCGTATAATGGATGTATTCCTTAGCGAAGGCATGGAGTTTATATTCAAAGTGGCGCTAGCGTTACTTCTGCTGGGCAAAGAGACGCTATTGTGCTTGGACATGGAGGCGATGCTAAAGGTGAGTTAGTTAATTAGTAATATTACATGTTTACGTTGGAATATAAGCTCTATATTATTTACTTAAATAAACCATATTTTACCTAACAAACGGTTACTCTGCTTTTGTTGGTATATATTTTATATTAGTCTAGTAAAGACTGTGAAGTTTTAGTTGTGAATCTATAAAACTGTTGGACAAACAAATCTTTAATCTTAAATCTAATATTTAATTTTTACTGTCACAATAAATTATAATAATTTGAGAGCTTCGGATTAAACAAAATAATCCAAATTTAGTTAAACAACTTGAAAAATAAACATACTGAGTTTAGGTTAATCTTGTATTCAGGTACCAAACTTTCTTAAGGTATATTTTTCCTGGAAACTTAACCTTAAAAAAATATATCATACCCGATTAATATCATATGAACTACTTGATCAAATCCGGTTAATGCAAACATGTATTTTCGTTGTTGAGAGTAATTAAGAATACTTACCTATATAACCCCTATCCATTTACGAATTTCAAAAAACAAACCTTATTTTGCTTATATATCGGATGTCATATATTTGAGAATATTCTCCGACAATAATTTCGGAGATATGAGTGTAATTTTCTAACTTAGTGTAAGCGGTTCCCAAAACTGTAAATCCGATGTATTCAGAGTCGGTGAAGAAAATTTCTCCGAAACGGTTGGATTGATCTAATCAAAATTTTCTCACGACCTTCTTAGATATATTTGTCAAGCAATGAGTAAAGGATTTTTGATAACAGTTTCGATTTTATAAGCTACTCTGAAATGTAAATTTTTTCACCAAACACCAATTTTCTTTTTTTTTTTTGGAAACCGCGATTTTGTCCAAAAATTCAAATTCTAGTTCTTAGATCATTACTTGACTTTGGATTTAAGATACCCGCGAAACGCCTTTTTCTGAAGGTTCTTCTGGAGATCGACTACGGGATCAAGGAAATCCAAAACTTTCATATAATATTTTCACTTGTTATAATATTGCTTTATTCATTTTGACTTGTTTTGTTTAACCGTATTAAAGTAAACTAAATTGCACTTTAATTCACAACTCTTAATTCATACGTTTTGTTCCTCTTTATGTTGTAGTTCTTCCAAAAAGAGCTGCCCGGTCGCGTCGAAGCCGATCCTGAGGCATTTTTCAATTTAGCCTACTCCATTAAAATCAACACGAAACGCATGAAGAAAATGGAAAAGGAATATCAAGACTTGAAGAAGAAGGAACAAGAGGAAATGGTGGAGTTGCGTCGTTTACGACGTGAGAATCGTTTATTGAAACAGCGCAACGAGTTATTAGAGGCAGAAAGTGCCGAATTGGCCGATCGTCTGGTGCGCGGGCAGGTCTCACGCGCCGAAGAGGAGGAAACTAGGTATGTGGCTGAGTATGGAAATGTCTTTTAATGTTTACAACGTATTTGTTATTAATTTTTGCATTTAATTGCTTTTCAGTTATGCAATTCAAACAGAGCTGATGCAGCTGCGTCGCTCATATCTCGAAGTGTCACATCAGCTGGAAAATGCCAATGAGGAAGTGCGTGGTTTAAGTTTACGTTTGCAGGAAAATGTAAGTTTGTTGTGATTTATTGTCTTATAATGATTTCATTTGTCATATATATTGTACCTAATCATGCAACATGTTGCTAATCAAACTGAAATTGTGAATTAAAACAATATTTCTTATATTATCTTCTTTCTTATTGCGGTTTATTGGTGTGGTTAACACAAATTGAAATTGACACTTTCTTTCGAATAAATAAAACACTCACTTAAATACCAACAAAAAATAAATAAAAAACAATTAAATTTATTTAAAAAAATAAACTCAACAAAACTCACACACAAATTCTTGCCTCTCTAAACAGAATGTATCCATCGATAGTGTAAGTAATACGCAGCCGCCGGTGAAGGAAATAAAGGTTAATGTTTTTTCTATCCCTCTTGCTTGCTAACATCAAATTTAATGCATGTGTCTTCTAATAATAATTAAAAAAAATTAACAATTATCTTCTTTTAGCACTAACATAAGTTGGTATAAAATCTATTTACTTTTAACATTGGTTTACAAAGTTTTTTTTTTTTAATAATGATTGCAAATTTGTTACATCAAAAAGGACACGTAAGAGACGCTATACAGTATAAATGATCAGCGTAATGAGCTGAGTCGATTTAGCCATATCCACCTGTGTGTGTGTATATATGCGAGCTAGTCCCTCAGTTTTTAAGATATTGTTCTGAAATGTTGCAAACATCCTTTTCTCCCCAAGAAGCTGATCAATTGTCGGAACCGCCGATATCGAAGCATTCTAGTATATAGCTGTCATACAAACTGACCCATCTAAATGAAGTTCTTGTACGGAAAATTATCTTATTTGGCAAGATATCTTCACAAAAATTGGCATGTCTTCTTGTCCACGGCAACGTTAATATCTACGAACCTAGTGTTCAGATCGGATTTCTACAACATATAGTGCCATACAAACGGAACGATAAAATTCATGTTCTTGTATGTAAACTCTTTTAATTGTGAAGAGTATTATAGCTTCGATGCTACCGAAGTCTATATTTTTTCTTGTTATAATAATTTTTGTTACTCCCCCTTTTTTATCAGAAGGATTTCTCGAAAATTTCTTAAGACTTTTTTTTTTAATAATTATAATTTGTATATAATATCTAGGTTTAGCCTTTGAATATTGTTTGAAAATATTTCTTTTTTACCAAATTATCTTATTTAAATTCCATTATCCAAAAGTAAAAAGATACCATTATATCATTTCAGTGAAAAATTCATATAATGATCTCAAAAATGGCATCCAATCTCTATTTTCTAAATTACAATTTTATAAATTTAATTCTAAAACTAACATTTGCATGGGTAGCTAGTACTGTAATGAAATGCTTATAACAAAAAAAAAAAACTAAAAAACAATGCCTGTCTATTTATCCAACATTTGACTAAGCTTAATTTTGTAATGCAAATATTTGTTCTCCTATCATCTACACTACTAAATTTCTACAGAACAATTCACGTCAATCATCCATCGATGAGTTGTGCATGAAGGAAGAGGCACTTAAACAACGCGATGAGATGGTCTCATGCCTGCTCGAAGAGTTGGTGAAAGTACGTCAAAGTTTAGCCGAAAGTGAAGATCAAATACGTAATCTCAAGTCGAAAATCGAGGAGCTCGAAGAGGATAAAAAGACACTACGTGAAACTACGCCCGACAATTCGGTTGCACATTTGCAAGACGAACTTATCGCCAGTAAATTGCGTGAAGCCGAGGCTAGTCTCTCACTAAAGGATCTCAAACAACGCGTGCAAGAGTTAAGCACACAGTGGCAACGCCAATTACAGGAAAACCGAAACGATCACAGCCAACAGCCGGTCGATTCGACACCTAAAAAATTACTCACGAATTTCTTCGACACTTCCAAGTCGAATGAGCATACGCAACGCTTGGAGGAAGAGTTGATGACAACACGTATACGTGAAATGGAAACGCTCACCGAGCTGAAGGAGTTGCGCTTGAAGGTTGGTGCACCACACCACGATTTTTATTATTTTGCAAACATTTTTTTTTAATTCATTAACTCTGCTTCTGCTCTTAGGTTATGGAACTCGAAACACAAGTGCAAGTATCAACAAACCAGCTGCGTCGTCAGGATGAAGAGAATAAGAAATTGCGCGAACAACTTGAACAGGCCGTAAATCGGGAGAAAGAAATGGCCAACAAAGCGCGCGAGCAACAACACAGGTATCATTATCGATAACTAATCTAAATAATAAAATACTTAAACCCAATTTTTTTTGCTCAGATATTCCGACTTGGAGTCTCGCATGAAGGATGAGTTGATGAATGTTAAGATCAAATTTACCGAACAAAGTCAGACTGTTGCTGAACTGAAGCAAGAAATATCGCGGTTGGAAACAAAGGTAATTAAGGTTTATTTTCAATTTCTATTATTTTGCTGGTATTAAAAATAAATATAAACATGCAGGTATTCTAAAAATTGATATATGTAGACCAGAAAATATTTCTGTGTCCGACCCGTATTTTGCAGAAACTGAATAGTTGTTAAATAAAAGTAATTTATTTTCTATTTAGCAGTGCTGTAAATGCATTAATCCTTTTTATAAGTGAAAGAAATTATGAAAATGAAATAAGAATCAAGATCAATGACGTCGGTGCATTAGGCTCCGAGATGATTTCAATTGTTAAGCGGGGAGGACACCTTTCCAAAGTTGTTTCTGTTATTTATATAGCTATGGCATTGATGGATCAGCGATGAGTGGAGTAGAGTTTTTTTTACCAATCCGATTTTAGATCGTCGAAATAACAGCCATTTTCTAGATCTTCTCGAGAATCGTGCCTGAGATTCGGGGCGATTATATCCTAAAATTTGGTATATTTGCGCCTGAGCATTATAGTTTGCAGTTATATTATATGTAATGTGTTTAAATATTTCAGTATTTGATCCTTATAATAGTTGAATATGCTCTCGAGGTATTAGATTTTCATCATACAGTCGAGGATCAGCTGTTTCGGTAGCGTGGTAAGCTAATATTCTTGTAATATCCTGTTTGGCAATTAATGCCTGGTGAAATGTAGATATTGAAAGGCCTAAAGCCTATGGCGTCGGCGCAGTAGAACATATTTAGTGTTTTGTTCATGCGCATAAAGTTAGTAACATCTTTGTTTTTATGATGCAGGCTGTTGTTTTTGATCTTCATTATTGTAATGACATCTTATTATTATTAAGTCTCGAGATGGATTGTTATCGATACTGGTGTTGTTGTGGTTTGCCGAGTTGGTGGTAGTGTTTTCAGTTTCTCCGCTTTAATCTTCGTGAGGGCAGGGATCGCTTTAATGTCGTGAAAAAGTCGAAGCCAAAAAATATAAATATCTCAGCTACTTGAAGGGTAGCATAATTTAAGATCAAAATTATTCTATTTTATGCAACCAAAGCTTCTTTAGTTCCTATATTTAAAGGAACTTTGGTTACATAAAATGATAAAAAATGAAAAATGTTTAATCAGCTACACAGCAGTGCGCTAATATTTTGTTAAACAAAAATAAATATAAATTTAATAAAAAAAAACATTAAAAACTTTGTGTTTTTAACTATAAATATATTTAATTAATATTTTTTTTTTTTTTTACAGAATTCCGAAATCCTAGCTGAAGGTGAACTGCGTTCCAATTTGGATGAATCAGACAAGGTGCGTGATCTACAGGATCGTCTGGCTGATCTTAAAGCAGAGGTAAGTTGCTATTCCAATTAAGTAGAAGTAATAAAAAGCAATAAATATTTTTTCTTAATTAATTTTTTGTTTATTAACAAAAAAATCTGCTGTAAATATTCTAAATTGATGAAAGGCTCATTCAACATTAATATCATTTACATAATTGCCGCGCGCTCATATCTACGTACAGAGTGACGAAGCAGACAAAATAAATATTAAAGAATGGTTACATACATATCCTCTCAGCAGGTTTTAATAAACTATTAAAAAGCGGAGCTTTCGTTTGTGAGCTGTTAGGATTTTCTGTATTGTTTTTAAAACTAAATATTTTTCTTTTGTTGTTTTGTATAATACAAATTAATCCTCATGTGTTTGCAATGGAAATGCATTTTAAATTTCTATGCCTTTGCTATCTGGCTTTGTGCGCTCATTTCCAAAGAGAACAATTGCCTGTAATACTCATACAAATATACTTGAATGGTTGAATTCTTGACAACGAGCAGTCAAAACGCTGTTCACATCAATAATTTGCCGCACACATTATATGTATTTGCGTATATACGACCATGAGTCTATTACTATTAGGGTGAGCCTAAAACTAATATTTTTATTTTTCACTTTTCAAAGCATTTAAAAATAAAAAGCTGAAAAGGTTCTCCTGAAGTAGTCTTTTTTAGAAAATATTGTACTGTACAAGAATCTGCGATGTTTAAATTTTTATCCTAAACGGTTCAAAAGTGATGATGTTTTTAATTAAAACAGATTTTTTACGCGTTAGTTAAATAGGAAGCGTTGAATGTTTACCGACATCTAAAAGTCTTGCTTTGCAGGAATATTTTTATACCCTGAACAAGGCATATTAAATTTGCTACGAAGTTTGTAACACCCAAAAGGAAGCGCTCGAGAACCAATAAAATATATTAAGTTCTTGTATGGAAAAGATTTTTATTTGCCAAGATATTTTCACAAAATTTGGCATAAATTATTGTCAAAGGCAGCGCTACAATCTCCGAACATACTATTTAAATCGGATTTCTACAGCATTTAGCTGTTATACAAACTAATGGATCAAAATCAAGTTCTTGTATGAAAAACTTTTTTATTTAGCAGGTTAGCTTTACGGAATATGACGTAGATTATGGTCAAAGAAAATGCTAGAATCTCCGAACAAATTGTTTAGATCGGATAATTATAGCATATAGCTGTCGTACGAACTGATCGATCGAAATCAGGTTTGAAAGTATGAAAACTTTTTTTATTTGGGAAGGGTAATATGGCTTCGGTGCAACCGAAGTTAACATTTTTTCTGGTTTTGTCTAAATATAGGTTAATTTTAAACCAAAAATTCTATGATCGATTTTTTCTGGCTCACCCTAGTATGTATTGTATACATATGTACGCTTTCAGTTGTTCAGTTTGTCAATTTAATTTACTTAAAAGGCTTTGCGTTCGGTCATGCATACAAACTTACATACTTACATATATGCAAATTAATCCACAAAATAAATTTTTTGACATGCTCTTCCGCTATTTTGTATGTATGTATGCGCTATTTTGTTGTTATTCCGTTATGTTTTACAGGAAACTCTTGATGAACCCTTTTTTATATATAAAAAAAAACCATTTATTTTGTATATGGAATTAATATTTTTCATAATAGTAATTTTTTTTTGTTTTTGTTTTCGTTCGTTTTTTTTTCATTACTCTACATACAAACTTAAATTGAACTACTCACATTTCAATATGAATTATTCACTGTATATGTATTTTTTAGTATCCCACGCCAATAACAAGCCCCGATACTGAACCATGGAAGTGGATAAGCTAAATAAACAAAGAATGAAAAATATTAATGAAAAATCAGGTCATTACTAACCAACCAACCAATCAATTTAATTCAAATATTTACTCATTTTACGAAAATGTACGCTCAAGTGTACAATACAACTGCAGAACTAATCATTAAACGCATTAGAAATCAACAACAAAAACCATCATGTTTCGCAAAAATAATCAAAAAATAAAAATTCTGAAAAAGTATGCTCTGGTAGTACAAATTTAATCACATAACTACATACATATATTCTGTTGCATGCCATTTCTTCAATTAATATCCTTAAATTATGGCATTTGCATGACAATAAAAATATTTTGTATTGGCTACTCAGTATCCATTTAATTATTGGAACTAAAGTTTATGGAACGCATGACTATTTTTAATGAAAATTATATATGAAATAAACGTAATGTATATTTTTTATTTACTATTGCTGACCCTAAAACAGTTGAAAGTTTACCTCAATATTTAATTAATAGCATATCTCAACATCTGATGTATGTACTTAGATATATATCAATCGATTAAAATTATAAATCTTATGTTTGCCTCTTTATTGTTCGGTACAGACAAATAATCGATACTGGCCAATTTGTCATAAAAATAACAATTATAAAATGAGTTGTATGGCATGCTGCGCTGTTTGTTGCAACCAAAGATGGCCAAGTCCATATCCACTTGTTTGTTATGTCTCACCTTTATGGTGTTACTATATCCATTTGCAAGTCAGAAAAAAGCGTTATTTATGAACTTTTTTTTGAGGAGGCGTTTTATTTAATAATTAAATAAAGATAATGTACATTTATAGAATTTAACGTAATTTCAAAATCGGTGATTCATTTTGAAAAATTTTGAATTCTCTTGATCCCGTATTCGACCTCCAAGAGGACCTTTGAAAAAAGCTGTTTGGCGGTGAGGAAGATTTTTCTGCTTAAAATTATCTCAAAAACAAAAATCCAAAAATTTTATTATTACCATAGATATATAGAGGTAATAATCGAAGGACTAGTCAAAATTTTGATTTTTGACCAAATGGCAATGGCGGCTTCCCAAAAAACGTCAATTTTTGTGAAAAAATGTACATTTCAGAGTAACTTAAAAAATCGAAATCGTTATCAAAAATATTATTCCTTCACTCAAGTATATCTAAAAGATCGTGTGAAAATTTCAAGTCCATCGGTCCAACCGTTTCGAAGAAAATTTCCTCACCAACTCTGAACACAGCGTTTCAAGAAAAAGTTTGGTTAGCCGATTACACAAAGTTAAACAATTCTTACAAATACCCTCATAGCTCCGAAACTATTTATCGGATAAACTTCAAAATTTCGGAGAATATTCTGAAATACATATATGTACATTCGATATGTAGCAAAAAAATTTGATTTATTGAAATTCATAAGTGGATATAACCCCCTAAACAAAACATTAATTTTGACTGCTAATGAGATGAAGATTCTCTGTTATATTGAATCCTTGTTCAAATTTCAAACGGAAAAGAATTATTACTGTAAAAATTTGTTCGGGATTTTGCTTTTCTAGTAAGAGAATAAAAGGACAGAGTATTTTGCACGATCGTAAATATTTATAAATCGGTTATAGTAGCATGTGTAGATATCTACGAGAAACACTTTTGATGAAGTAAAAGTATAATAGATAAATATAAATAATAACAAAATAAGTTGAATAGCTAAACAGCAGAGTATAGTCTGTGTACATAAGATATTAGTGTCGGGTCAATTCAATTCGGCTTTCAAAATGGCAGACTTTTTCAGTCTTATCTAGTAAAAAGAAAATAATTTGATTAAATAAAATTTTTTATTTCTTTAATTAATTTTTAAATTTGGATATAGAAAAAAAATATTTTTTTTTTGTTTAAACTCTGCCCTTGACGATTCTTTGAATGTACCACCCCAATTACAATGACTAGACACAAGCTTTTTTGAATAAATATATGGACTATCTAATAAAATAGCAGCGATTTAAAAAAAGTGTATTTTTTGACCAAGCCAAAAAAGCCTGTGAAAAGTCGGAAACAAATCCATAAAGGGTCGTATCTAAAAATAGCGAGATGTTGTGTGAATCACTAACAATTTACAGATTTCGAATATCTTTTAAAATTTTGTGAAAATCGTTCCAAAACGGTCCAAAAAAAACGCCACGTTTGGGGTAACGTGTTTAAAACTGACTGCGCGACCCAAATAATGAACGCTGGGCTAGGTTTGGGACTCGATATCTCGTAAATAAACATGCTTACGACCAAATGCTTTATAGGGCATATTTATAGTTAGAACATTATATTAGAAATATACAAAAACAATGATTTTTTTTTAAACCGCGAAGGTAGAAAAATTATCTCAAAAACAATAATAATTTTTTAGTGTTAGCTGAATTACAAATTGTTAGTTTAGATTTACAAATAAACTCAAATTTCTTAAGGAATGTATTAGTAAATTGTTTCACAATTCACTGGTTGTTTTTGAACTACTCTTTTTTCAGCTCAGAAATTCTAGTTGCAAACTAGTGTTTTATGGTCTAGTCTAAAATTTTTGGTTTTAAACTAGTATTTTTTTATTTTTATATGCATTACTCAAAAACAGTAATAATGCTAAATCGGTGTCTATATTTTATATTTTTCGATCTTTTACGATCTTTAAATTAATATTATACAATATATTTACATATACTTGGCTCCTTCACCCCATAACTCATGACTCACTGCCACACAGTAGAGTTATTCAAATTGGTTTGTATTCGTACTAGAATTGTGTAATATTGGTTAATGAAATTTATTTAAAATTATATGTCTGTTAATACTACGACATGTATGCATGCACTTTAACTATATATATATATATATATATATATTATATGTATATAAATATATCAAACAGTTGTATAGTCAACATCAATATTTTTCAATTTTATCACGCATTAATTTCTTTAACTTATTTCAACGTACTTTACAGTTAACCGCCATTCGAAGTCGTGGCAAATATCCAATTAATAAACTGCGCAGCTCCTCGATACAATCGATCGAATCCAACGAGATCGACTTCAACGAATTGAATATGCGGCGTGAGAGCGCCGAATTGTCAACCACATAATACATAATGCGGCTGCGGAGAGAGGAGTTAGCACACAAATTTAGAGACACCATTGCACGGTTGTCCCGCTGATATTCTATTTTCCATATGGATATTATGTAGACAGTTTTTGCGAGAATATTTATAACAAATAAGAAAAAAAAAACCACACACACACACACATACTCCAAATTAATATAAGATTCAACAAAACTGCTATATTGTATTACGCAAGTAGGAAATTCCAAATAACCAATTAACTTAAATTAAAATAAATTATAGTATTTAATTTCTAATTATGCATTTAGATGTAAGTAAGTTTATACATGTGTATATTATGCTTTTGCAGCGATTGTGTCGCGACACCTATTATTATTATTATTTTTAATTATTATTATTAATTAATTATCAATTATTTTTATTTGAAAATATTCTAAATAATTTGCTTGCTGCTTGCATGTCAACATACAAATAATATAGTATGTAATATGCATTAATAATTTATTAGCAATTTGTTATAGCGTCTATACCAATTGATGATTATTGTATTATTATTACTATTAATATATTTAATTGTTGTAATTTAAAAGAGCAAAATATATAAATAAGTGTATTGTTCTGTAATACGCTAGTGCTGAAGATTAAATGTTTTAACTGCGCGCTTAAAAGTATGCAAAAATTATTTTTATTTTAACATTTTTTTGAGGTTATAAATCTAAAGACATTTTCTAGCATATATTGCTAAATTAAAAAAAAAAACAAAAAAAAAAAACTTTTTTTTAACCCAGCACATGCATACATCAAATTTGCAATAAAAACATAAAAGTGAGTTTATTTTGTATTTGTATTTATATTTATGTGTAACTGATATACAAGTTATAAGTGACGCGAATGAAAAATTCTGAAAAGTAACAAAAAATATAAATCACCTATTACCGATTAACTGAGGTGTAATAAAAAAATTGTAGTTAAAAGGAATTTCGCAAACTGAATTGAAGCGAAAGAAAAACGATTTGTCTCAAACTGAACATGTTTTTATACAAACATTTATGACTTTTACATAAATACATACAAACATACATATGTAGCGTTAGTTTATACAGATATGCATTATGTATTATTACAACAAATTATGGCAATGAAAATCAGTATGTGAAAACTAGAACAACAACTATGATCCCAACATAAACTTTAATGGCAACATAAAATTTAATGGCATAAACGAGTAGAAATGTCGATAGCGAATAGCGAATAGCGAATTTTTGACACACACAGGCATTAACTTATATTACATAAAGTAACCAACATACATATTTTTAGAGGGTATTTGCTGTTGCGTGAGAAAGTGTATTGAAAATAGTGATTGAAATATCAGAAAAATTGAGAGTACTAAATTCAAATAACTCGAATAAGAAAAGTGAAGCTAAAATTTATATTTTTTTGGCATGATAGGCGTGTATTTGTTTCCTTTAGAGTCTGAATATTAAATTTTTTTAAATTTTTTTGCGATGAAAAGTGATTTAACTATAAAATGTAAATTATTAATATTACTTTTTTCACAAATAAATTAAAATTAATTTTTTTTTCATTTTAGAAATTGTTATACTCCAGAAAGGGTATAGTAAGTTTGCCACGATGTTTCCAAGAGCTAGAAGAAAACGTCGAAGACCTTATAACGTATACCATATATATAAACACAATTTTTGAGATATTGAACTGATATTTTGGCACTTTTTTTGTTCGCCAAAAACTGCTCATTTGTTGAACCGCCGATATCACACCACTATAGCATATAGCTGCCAAACAATCTAATCTTTTAAAATAAACTCCTTGTATGGACAACTTTTCTATTTGACAAGATATCTTCACGAAATTCGGCATGTGATATTTTCCAAAGCAACGGCGTAGTTTGCGAAGAAATTAAATTATCGATTAAAATCAAGATATAGATCATTGTATACGCTTTTATGCTATAAGAAATGCAACCGTAAAGGGTGTTCTACTTCGGTGCAGCCAAAGAGAACATTTTTCCTATTTTTTTTAATTTTTGCAAAAAATTAATCTAATTAAGCTCTCCACACTCTCACTAACTTTGAAAAATTGACGCACATTTCGATACACAACTCAATGCAGTGAATACCTCCATTAAAATTTTAATATATTAGTGTTCCATATAAACATATACAAACAGACATAAATATTTAAATACATATTACAGGTATTTTCTGAAACAATGTGGCCAAAATTAAGCAAAATAAAAATAAATAAGGCAATTATACTCATGGTCAAAGTGCTGCGAGAGTATAAAAAGTTGGTAAAAGACTCGAAATGATGAACATATTAAAAGTTTAAGCACAAAAAGGCACACAACTGTCAATATATAATTACATAAACATAAATATAAAAGGCTATCTGAGAATAATTCGATTTTTTTTTTGTTAAAAATGCATGCAAATGATATTAATTAGAATTTTAAAAAAACACATTAATAAGTTTCTTTGAAATAAAGCAAAAACTAACCTAAAAGTTTTGAAATGTTTGGCGTGATAGTAACAACTCTTGGTTTAATCAAAATCGATTACATTCACAGCACTAAATGTAGAAAGTTGCCCATTTAAGTTGTGTTTTATAGTGTTTTTAAAACGCTGCAAGTACAACTACAAATTGCTAACAAAAAAATATATAAAAAAAACTTTTATTAATAATTTAATTTTTTTATACAAAAACTGGTTTAAATTTTAAGAATTGAATTTCTTATTTTTTGAAAAAAGTTTAATCGATGCAGCGAAAGATTATTATTAATACATCCATATATTAAGTCGCAGCTACACAATTTTTTTTAACTGTACGATTTGATTTTTATTATTACTATTATATTATTGTTATTTTTAAATATTTTATTTACTTACATACAAACACACTTGATATAATGTGCAATAACAGTCAGTGACAAAAACACAGTTTAACGAATTTTTAAGTTTCTTGTTGTTTTAAGTAATTATTAGAATTAATTTTTTTTATAAACTTGTTGAAGAAAGTAACTGCCGCAGCGCTAAAGTATTGGAAGGCATATAAAATTCACTAAAATAAGTGTAATTAGCAAGTATTTATAATTTTAGCGCAAAAGTAGTATTTTAATTATTTGCGAATCTAAGCATAAGAATTTAACCAATTTTAACTTAAGCGAAACTCTTGCGAAGAGTGTAAAGCGGCGACGTTAACCGAACGCTTTGGGCGAACGAGGAAGCACAAATTATGTTTAATACAATTTTATAAAAAGAAGCTTATGCAGAAAAAAAACGTATGTTTGCATATGTACTATATATTTTATGTATATACTAAAATATTATTTAGCTAATTTGTATATTTTAAATTTTGTTTTTGGTTAAATTATAATTTTTTTGTATTTAAAATTTTTTCACTTTATTATCCTTAACAATTTTCGATTTTCAAATATTTTATACTAATTTTTGTTCAAGCACAGACGTGTAAAACTAGTCGTTTGAGCCGTTATATCTACTTGTAAATCAGAAATAAACGCGTATTTTTTTGTGAAGTTTTTTTGAAGAGTAATTGGGCGATTCAGTTTGCAAAATTTTGGATTCTCTTGTTTCCGTAGCCGATCCTCAGAAGGACTTTTGAAACTTTCCCATTGCCACAACAGTCGGGTCTACGTAACCAGAACGGACACGGATTTTTATCCGGCTAAGGACTGTCAACTCGGCAGAATTCTGCCGCTACAACAACAACAGGACTTTTAAAAATAGATGTCTGGAGGCGAGTAAGCCTTTTCTGCTTACAATTATTTCAAGTCCAAAAACGAAAAAAGATGCACTATTACAAGAGATAAATGCAGGTAATGGTCGAAGGACTTTGACTTTTGATAAAATTACAGTTTAAAAAAAAGGCACTTTAGAGTTGCTCAGTAAATCGAAACTATTATCAAAAATCGTATTACTTCGATTAATACCTAGCAAATATATCTAGGAAGGTCGTACGAAAATTTTAAGTGTATCGGTCAAACCGTTTTCGGAGAAATTTTCCTCACTGACTCTGAAAACAGCGTTGCGAGAAAATCGATTTTTTGAAATTTACAAGTCGATACCTTAAAAGCAAAAATCTGCCAAAGCCGTTATTTGGCGATATCTTGAAAACGATTGTCCGAATTAAATATTGACTAAACGACTAATTTTACATGGCTTTTACCTGTTGGCAGCAAACTAATGCTATATTACCGTTAATTTATATAACTTTTGATTTTGATTTTTGTCTTTTTGTATAAAAATAACTCTTTATTATTCTAATTTTCATTACCTTGCTCATAATTGTTTAAGTGTTGTTATTATATTGATTTGATTTGATTTTTAATTTTCTTAAATTATAATATCTTTTTAAAATATTGTTATTTATACTCCAAAATACGTCCACTCTTGAATTTTAATTATATTTTAGCCATATCTATATATAATAGCTATATAAGAGCATAATCTTACTCAGCAAACATTTGTCTTGTACTTACACTGATTAAAAATGTTCACGTAAAACAAAAAAAAAAACATAAAAACACAGAAAATTAAAGAAAAATAACTCAAACATATCTCAATACTTACCACTTAAAAATTTAAAGAAAAAAAGCGGCAAATTTATACAAAATACAAATGCATACAAAATCTGTGCGAAGAATTGTCCCAAAACTGTATTGAAAAAATTATTAAACATTCCTAATAGCGATTTAGAAATCTGAGCATTTAAAAAATATTTAGAAAATTTCCAAAACGTTTCCAAATTCAATTTTAAAAAATTATAAATGTTACTGTAAGAATCTGAAAAACTGTTATTTCACGTATACTGTTGTTGGTATTGCATTTGCTTTATCTTTTAATTTAAATTTTATGAATTTGAACTTTTCTATTGGTGTTAAGTAATTTATATAAATAATTGGTCGGAAGTTGTCTCAAAGTAATTGTATTGGCTTTACTACCGTTATAAATGTTCAATACTATGCAACACTGAATATGCCAAATTAACTCTCTTGTGACTACCATTTCTATAACAATAAAATATCCCACAGTTTTTTTATAGTGTACAGCTCGCCACACCACTTTGACATACAGACAGACATCGCCACTTTACAAGTACTCGAGCACTTTATATAATTAATAAATACATACATACTTACATGAATTAGTAGGAAGAAACTTGTAGATCGAAACTTAACTTAACTTACCATAACCGATGCTGATTGGTTGTTACGAGTACATACAAATAAGTGAAAGCATAAATGCTAAGACATTTTTCCTTATTGTAAAATGTTTTTAGCCAACGATTTTAAACGACATTATATTAACCACTCATATATACTATTACGAGACACAACTACACACAAACACGAGTGCATACACGAAGCAAAAAGATATTAACGAAGACAAGCTAAACATTTTATGAAATAATTTGTCTATTGCCAGTAAGCGAAGACTTTGAAATTGCAAACGAAATTAATTAAAATTAGAAATATGAAGCAACAACAAAGAAAAATTGTGTTATTAAATAAATTATGCAAACAAATATACTTAAAAGCGTTTGTCATCCACTTACAATTTAGTGAATGAATGTACTGTACTTTGACGAAATTAAAAATAAAAAAAATACAAAAACAAATACATGAATTATAAAAATTGCGAATAAAACCCTTGAAATCAATTAAAAAGTGTTGTATTAATTTCCACAAAAATACCAATATATTATTGAATAGAAATAACAACATTCCAAAGTAAATTCTGCCAAAAATGGTCCATTTACGGAGAAATATTAAAATTTCAATATCATTTTTATTATCCAGGTGAAAATTTTGATGTAGATAGCCCAAGCGATGGGCCGAACAGTGATATTTTCAGAAGAATTTTCCGATCACCGGTTTCCGAGATATTCAACAAAAACAAGCTGCTGATCGGCAAAAACCGTCGATTTACCAACAAAGTTTAATACTTTTGGGCCACCTATTTTCGCTAAGTCAAAATTTTTGATGCAGAAAGATAACCCATGCAATAACACTGGCAATGCTATTTTCAAAAAAATATTTCCTCCAACGGTTTCCGAAATATTCGGCAAAAACCTTTCCGCAGCTACTTGCTATGCACTTCTGGGCGCCTGGTAGAAAGTCTAGATTTTGCTGCAAATTTTCAATTTTCCTTTCCACCCCCGGTTGCGTGTGGGGGAAATGTTGATATGCAAAAACGTTGCATATGATAGGGGGCATGATATGTATTACTCAGATAGTTGCGGATATGTTCAAAAGATTGCCGGAAATACTGGTTTCTGAACAACGGGTGGGAGCTATATGAAAAGAATTTGTACTGCTATATTCCCGAAGTTTGGCGCACAATGCAATATTAAAAAAAAAAACATTTCCGCTTCCGGTTGAAAAGTTATTTCAACAATTCTGCTAAAAATGGACAAATTTAGGAGAAATTTTGAAATTTCTGTTTCTTTGTTAACCAGGTCAAAATTTTTGACGCAGAAATATAGGCCAAGCGATGGGTCAGGTAGTGCAATTTTCAGAAAAATTTTCCGACCATCGGTTTTCAAGATATGCAATAAATCCGTCGAATTACCAACAAAATTTAATATTTTTGGGCCACCTATTTTAGCTGGGTCAACTTTTTTTTTGCAGAAAGTTAACCTAAGCGATAACACTGACTACGCAATTTTCAAAATAATATTTCCATCAGCGGTGGTTCTCACTGCTACAAAATATGCAGTAATTATTAATAAATATCATAACTTGTTTAATGGTGCATATGTGTTAGTACTTATAGGAGTTTATTGATCAACAGTATCATAATGTCTCGTATTCGGTAATAATAATTTGGCGTTTACAATATTGCACTATGATATACATATGTGTGTATGTGTAAATGAAATCTCCTTGCCTCCTACATACTCGTACAAATGTCTGTATGTATGCATTAATGCATCTTTATTCCTAATACAATATTATTTGACTAAAACTTAAATAATTGTCTTTTCCATATTATCCGTAGCATTGTCTTGCCGCAATATTAGCCGAAGTATAATGACATTTTAAATAAATGGTGGTACATAGTTTAACGGTATATGTGTGTGTATATGTAACAATAACAATCATATACGCGCATAAGATTGAGCAAATACGTATGTGCGTATGGGGGTATACGTATGTGGATATTCAAAAGTTATAGTCAACGGTTGCTGAATTATTGTATATAGTAGTCATCATTTGGCCATCCAACAATTGGCTAGTTTGTAGTATATGTATGTTCGTAAGCATATGTACTAAATACACTTATGACAAGTTGAAAGTTTAAATTAAAATACTTATGTAACACTACCTTTCCCTTGACTAAGCTGTTGCATGTTTTTGCTTGTTTTTCGTTTTCCCCAATTATAAAGTGTCTCCGGTTTGTGGCTTAAAACTAAATGAATATTTTATTGTCAATTTTATTCGCTGCCTTTGGTTTCATTTCACTTTTCCAGTAACTCGACTCATTGCCTCTTTAGAGAACGTTTTCGTCTAGTACTTTCGCTTTTCAATTGTGTGTATGTGTGTGTGTCCAACTGCGTCTACTCATCCAAGCAGATTGTACGTAGAATGGCCTCCACCACTGAGTAAGGATCACAGTTGGAGCTTGGGCGACGATCTTCGAAATAGCCCTTGCCATCATCATTCACACCACGCGGTATACGAATGGAGCAGCCACGATTGGCAACGCCGGCGCTAAAGTCATTGATCGAGCTCGTCTCATGTTGACCAGTAAGACGACGTGCATTGTCCTGACCCTGTTTGGGATCGTAGGCGCGAATGTGACGCTCGTGGTGCTTGGAGAGTTTTTCAACGGCACTGAGGATTACCCTAGGAATCGAAAATAAATGAATTAGTGTAAAATTAATCTTAATTTAGATGAACTGCATGTGTGTATACTAACTTGATGCCGCCATCCTCACGCATTTTCTTGGTGGAAACGTTGGTGTGTGCACCGGCGCCATTCCAATCACCTGGCATGGGTTTGGGGTCCAATGTGGCGACAATCTACAAATAAAATTTTTTATTTTTTCTCACAACGGTCGCATATGCTGCTGCCACCACTTACACCAAACTCTTCGGATATGCGGTGCAAGAGGAAACGTGACATCCACAAATCATCACCAACTGAAATACCGAGACAGGGTCCCACCTGATATTCCCACTGGGCGGGCATTACCTCAGCATTAGTGCCAGACACTTTGATGCCGGCATACAAGCAGGCACGGTAATGTGCGTCGACAACATCGCGGGCATAGACCTTTAGAAAAAAAAAATTTAAGTCTGATATACATATTTTGCTGCTCATGCATTTAATCATACTTTATTTGCGCCCACACCACAGTAGTAGGGTCCTTGTGGTCCGGGGAAACCATTTTTGGGCCAACCCAATGGATGTCCATCGAAATCGAGGAATGTATACTCTTGTTCAATACCGAACCAGGGCTCTTCGTCCTTGCACTTATTTACTACTTCCTGACAGGTTTTGCGGTTATTAGAGGCGGTGGGTTGACCGTCGAAACGGTAGGTATCGCACATTACCAAAATATTATTGCCACGTCGGAAGGGATCCTTATAAATTGCGACTGGATACAGGTAGGTGTCCGAGTTGGAACCCTCCGCTTGATAGCAGGAACTACCATCGTAATTCCAGATAGGCAAATCTGGAAAAGAAAAATTTGTTTTAGTAGCGAGAACTCTAATGGGAATATTTGCAAAAAAAAGCCGTGGAAATAAGTACAATAAGTGTATTTGGATCTACAGCCTCTGTAACCAGAGTTGGTTGGGACCATCCATTCACCTTTAGTAACAGTTATTAGTAACACAGTGTTAACCTAACCTAACCTAACCTAACATCGAAAAAGTGAAGAAACTTTCACCATGAAATTGAACCTGATTACCGCGAAATGTCAAGTAGAAATGGCAAAAAAGATAATGGTCAACGGAACCCAAACTTAAACCATCGCTCAGGGATTTTATGTGCCAGATTTGTCCCACTGTTCGTTTTTTCTACAACCGAAACACAAACATCCACTTCAGTAAATGGATAATTATGCAATTGAAGCCATATAAACGAATTCGAAACTAAAGCCCTCAAAAGGGATAAAGGCATGCATACAATGTGCCAGGGTCTAATAAAATATGTTATAGTATTTGTGTGAAGCAGCTTTGTTTTTTAGTCTGAATGGATTATTCTACAAACACAGATGACTCAATGTGCTTCCAGGATGCAACGAAGTCTTTTCAATATGTACATAGGTATGTCTGATGGCTTTCGCATCCACTACAATATCTATTAATCTATTAAAGTCCAGCACAATTAGTTAACATATTCCTCATCGATAAACATCAAGTTATATTTAGTCCCGCAACAAACATTAGGGCGTTACACAACTTAAGGTTTAAGATATTTTTAAAAGAAAATAGATTTTTAAAAAATTTCAGATCACTTTAAATACATTTTTTTTTATTTCGATAGTTTAACCTTTAAAAACTAAACTTTTAAACTAATATCTCATATAGTTTTTGGGTTAAAATCATTTGAAGTTTAGCCACTCAATTTAATCAGCTCCATCAGTTTATCTTTAAAGGCTTTTTTCTCAAAACTACACTTTTCGAACTTGCAAATTTCGAACAATATCCCCTAGTCGAGAATATTTTTTATGTTTCTTGCACGAAGAAGGCCGGACGCACTAAAGCGATGGAGGACCTTTGTTTTTAGCGCCGTCGAGGATCGCATGCAACTCAAAAAATACTGAATGTTTTTCTTTAAAAATTGTATTGTCATTTTATTAGAATATGTATAAATATACACTTTAAATTTAAAACTACTAATATAGAAGTAATTATTTTTTTAATTCTCAGAATTCGTCTTTTTTGTTTCATATTAATTCACATCATAATTAACAAATTCTAAATATTAAATTAGTTTGCAGACAACATCAAAAGTTGCTTGGAAAGATACCAGGCAAGGGCGTGTAAGACAATGTTAAGTGTGGCGCGCGTAAAATTGTGTAGAGACCACCTGATCCGCTTGGCGCATACATATGTGCAATAATATGAATGCATGCGCCTGAAGGTCGTTGAGGTTGCCAAACTTGGCGGAAAAGCAACACATGTATCCATACAAATTTACATGTATGTATATATGTATGTATACTTGTATGCACAAGCGGCATTTTGCTTCCCCAAACAATTTCATGCTTGCTTTATTTCGCTTTTAACATTAGCTGCCAATCACAACTACCGGCGTCAGTGAATGAAACAACAACAATATCAACAACATTGTTGAATGCAATTCGAGCAATTCTACATATCTACATATATATATGTATATATTAATATAAA